AGGAATTATGCAATTATTTTTTACCAATTTCAAAAAAAATTATAATTTCGTTAACAATTGTTTTTTTAAAAACAGAAATTACCTTCACAAACATTTTTCAAAAAAATAATTTTTTTAAATTAACAAATACGATTGAAAAATTAAAATTGGGATAATTTTTTTCCTTAATTTTTAATAAGAATCCTTAAACTTCTCAGTTCTATTTTCAGTGAAAAATTGTAATTGACAAATCGAATTCCTAAAATATTTTTCTTTTATATCTGAGATTCTTAAGAAAAAAATTGTGATAAAGAAATAGAAGATATGCAAATTTTTTTTCTATTACTAACATTAACTGGAAGTTTTTGTTAAAAAATTGTGGTTGAGAAATATAAATGATCCAAATTAATTCCTATTTGCTACATTTTCGAAAAGAAAAAAGGGGAAACAGGACTTTGTATGAAAATCGTGATAACTAAATAAAAATTATTTTTTTGTTTTATTCTATTTATTTATTATGCAAATTTTTTTCATTATTTAAAAAAAATATCTCGTTAAAAATGTAATTAAAATTATAAATTACTAAAATTTTTTTCTAAAAGAAACTAAGAAGTTCGTAGCCAACAAATGTGATAACAAACAATATACAATTCGCTCCTAGTTTATTTGATAACCCTTATGAAAAATTCTTATAGGAAACTAATGTTAAAGCTGAAATTTTTTAATTATAATGTTTTTGTATAATATTTTCGCGATTATAAGTAATTTATTTTAAAAATTTCTTTTCTGAAATCATTATAACAATATAATTGTTGAATACTCTGTATAATAAAAGTATCGTAAAACTATAATTATAAAAAAATAATTACAAGATTGTAATTATAGAAAATAAAATTTTTGACTGCAAAAATTATAACATTTATATAAATATATTTAAATACTTCGTTTAAATTAATTTACGAAGTAAATTAATTTTTAAAATGGTATAAACATTATTCTTTCGTTTAATTATTTAATTTTAATTTCAAATATATTCATAAATTTAATTATTGCAATGAAATTATTGTAAAATACTTTTTCTACAAAATGAGTCATGGACATTAATTAAATTTTTAAATAATAATCTCAAGTGATTCATTATGTGTCTTAATTATTAGTAAGTTATATATGTAAATATAATTTTATATTTAATTAACTTTTTTATTGAATCATAAGACAAATAAGTATATAAAAGAATTTTTTGATTAACTATTTATATACTTTTTATATGTAGACAAAAATAGGTTAAAAGTTTTAGATTTTCAGAATTAAATTTTATTTGTTATAAATTTACAATTCTCATTTAAACGAAATGTAAATTAGAATCATTAACGTATTTAAGTGCATATGATAAAGCGAAACATAAATAATACTGTAATTATTATCATTTATAAACAACGAAATAAATTTAAATTGTCATTCAGGGTTAGTTGCAGCCACCCTTTTTTTCGCTTTCGCATTGTTGCATTTCGCTCTTAGAGCCATCTTGAAAAGCTTGTTCGTATCGTCGCTGTCCCCAAATTTAGCAATTGTCATTTCTGAAATAAATAATGATTTTAATTAATTAAAAAATTTAATCTAAAAAATATATAAAAATTTATTTATTAGTTCATATATCATATAAAATATAAAACAAAATATTTTATATATTTTTTTAATAATTATAATTATTATTATGTCATTATAACATTATATTTTATATATAAAATATTTAAAAATTCTTTTTCAACAATTTAAAACTTGTACAATTTTAGACACTTTGATTACATAAAATGTAATTAGTTTTAAGATCAGATTTAATCAATTTGATTTACAAATGACATTTTTACATTAATCTTACTTTTCATTGATTCCACTCTAACTGGATCTAATTGTTTTGTTGATTCTTGCTCATTATTTTTCTTATAAGCATTGCTTTTTTTTCCAGTTATTGAACTTGTTTTTAGTTCTTCTTTGTCAAAAACGATAGAACTCAAATCGCCTACATATTTCGAAACATTTTGTGTGCTACAGCTTTCGACCGCATCAAGGCTACATAGTTTGTTGCCAATTTTGATAAAACGGCTTTTTTCCTAAAATCAAACAAGTAAATTTATTTTATATATATATATATATGTACATAAAAATATGTATATGATAATTTAAAAATTATGCCATTTACTGGTTTCACATTGGACGATGAAGATTCAGTCACTGCAATAATTGGAGGCGCCGTTGCTTTCGGCACATTTTGTTTGCTTGTTGATGTTTCTACGATTTGAATAATTTCTTCGTTTTCATTCGTACCAGAAGTTTCCTGAATAATTTCTTTGACACTTTCGATTGCAAAATTAGATTTCGGTGCTTCTAAGTCTTCAAATTCATTAGTTGAAAAATCGTTTAAAATCTGAAAGTCCAATTTATATTAAAATTTATACTACAAATTGTAGACTTTATTTTTAAATTACAAAATATCAATATAAATTCATAAATACTGAATGAATTAGAAAATATAATAAAATACATTAAAATAAAAAAATACCTACCCGAGAAACTTGTTCCGATGTTTCGACTGTTGATGGAAATGATTTAAGTGGATTTTCTTGTATTTCACTTAATCTGATTTCACCTGATTTTAAATCCATTAAATCTTCAGTCTATATAAAATATTTTCATTGAAATCAATTAATAAATTAATTGAAAATTAAAATCCATTTTAAATATATAAAAAGTACCTCTGAAGTTTTTTCCAGATTTTTAACCAATTTTTCGGTTTCTCTTTCGGACTTTTCACAATCTGAAAAAGCTCCTTCAACATCGGTGTCCGTATCACTTAGAGAAAAATCATCTGGTTTTGATAGCTTCAAATAAATTTATTAATTTTTTAAAAAATTTGCTTTAGTAAAATAAACATTATTTACTTCTACAAATTTTGTTCTATTTCATTTGAAAGAATATAAAATTGAAAATTATAAGCAAACCCTAATTTTTGATTGATTTGAAGCCTCATTTTTCTTTGATTCTTTTTCCTTTTGGTAAACCGTGTGATTTATGTTTAAATTCTTATCTGAATTTGAAAGCAATTTCAAACATTTATCCAAAGCTAAAACAGTTAAAATATTTTAATTTATGGATTTATGTGTATTAAATTATCTTATTGTATTGAATTAAAATGAAAAATAAATATAATTACCAAATTTAATATTTTAATGTTTATATATTTCTTTACAAAAAACTTACAATTACTCATATCGACAATTTTTTGCAAATATGATACTTCTTTTTTCAGACGCGGTAATTCCTCTTTAAAAAACGACATTTGTTTTAGAAGATCTTTTTCTTTGTTTATTGAAAGAGCATTCGCTTTCTTCAAATTATCATTTTCTACTTTAAGACGAAAAATTTCCTGTTTTAGAACTGATGTTTCAGATATTAACATTTCACGACTGTCATCATCTGAACTATAATCTTCTGATTCTTCTAAATGTCTCTAATTAAAAAAAAATTTTGAAATAAAAATTTCTGTATCGTACTTTTATTACTATAATAACATATAGGTAAAGAAAATAGATTTATAATTCCTTGAAGTCATACTGATTTTTTGAAAAATATAATTAAAATATAATTTAATTTTTAATGTAAAATGAAATGTGGTACTTTTTCAAAAAAGTGCAAAAATTTATAACAATGAATTTAAGTTTCTAGATATTTTGAAACAATACTCATTGCACTTAAGAAATGCTTACATTCACACTCGATTCTGCTTGATGGTTCTCTACTTTCGCCAAAACATTTGATGCCTGAACCTTATCAATTTTTTTCTTTTTAATAACTTTAGTTGTGTTTAACTAAAATAAATATTAGTATTGATTAATTTATTTAGTCACTAAGTTAGTAGTTACCAAAAATATTTTTTTGTTTTAATTAATTAAGTAATTTTTTAAATTTACAAAAACATTTTTAATAAAATTTTAACAATTTTCTGAAATTTAATTTACTTTTTAAAATAATTTTCCTTGAATCACAGCAATTACAACATCTTATTAACAATTTTCTAAATATTAATTAATATGAATTGTAAATTATTTTAAATATTTTTTTCATAATTAATGCTTGTATTATTTTTATATTATAATGTATAATAAAAAAGCTTTGAACTTCATATTGCAATTTCTAATATTATTAATAAAAATAAACCTTTTCGCTCTTTCGTTTTCCAGTTTTATTGTCGACAGGTTGTTTACGATGGCGAAATTGGCGCTGACTTTTTGTTGGATCTAAGACACTCAAATCAATTAGATTCCTTCTCTTCTCTGCCATATCTTTAAAGCCTAATATATAATTTGAAAAATTTTCAGTAATTAAAAATTATTTTAAAAATTTAATAAACTAAGAAAAATAATTTATTAAATAAAACAATTTCGTGACTTATGCGTATTAAAAAAAGAGAAAAAAAAGAAAACAAAAAACGCAATTTACTTACTTCCAACAGAAATTATCACGGCAACTTTGTTTTCCCACGTTACGTCTTTTTGCAAACGAAGTTTCATTTTACTTGCTGGTCCCATCTCGCATAAAGGCCATTTTAGTGATACAACTTTTCTGTTCTTAATTATTTCTTCTAAATTTTCTTTTTCGTCGTCTTTAATGAATGCTTGAAATCCCACTTTCAGCATTGAATTTTCATTCACTAATTTAAATAACGCACATGCTTCATCTTTTATTTCACTGAGATCAGTAATCCCTTTTACTCTTTCCGTAGCCATTTTCAATTGTGAAGACTGATAATATTAAATAATCACTTCTTAAAATATTCGTTCAAACTATTTGATCGATAATATGTCTCCGCAATGCATCTGTGATGAAATATTTTTGACAGTTTTTTTGTTTTTTCTTTTGTTAAGCTGTTGCTAAGCAATTAAAAAAATGAAGTAATTTTCTACTAACATTTAAAGTTTCAAAAAAAATTTATAATTTTCTTAGAAATTTAAATTTGCGTAAATATGGTTGGAAAAAGAGGCCCTTACAAGAAATACCTACTACAAGGTGATATTCAAGAAATTCCAGAATCTACACATCGATATCGACAAAGAAAGAAAAAAGCGCGCATTGATAATGAATCTTTTAAAATGAATGGTTCCTCTGATGATGAAGATGATAATTTTGAGGTTCTCCAATGCAAAATAATTAATGAATCAAATAAATATTAATTTACTAGGATATACACTCGTTTAGCGAAGTGCATATAAAAATTAAATATATTTTTTTGAAAGTTTTTAAATTTATATAAACATTTTATTTTTTTTAAAAATTACATTTTTTAATTTCAGTAATAATCAGTATATTTTAAAAATCATTAACATATTTTTTACCTTTTTATATTTTTATTTAACCTCAATGTGTGATAAAAGAAATATTTTATTTTTTATTATTTTAAATATGTGCATATTTTTATATTCATTAATTATTTAATTCGCTATTACTTTTGTATAGGTTATCGACGTTGATACGTATTCTCGTAATTTAAAAGATTCACCAAAAGTTCATTCATTGTCAATAAAAAATAATGTTGAAATTCAGTCATCTGAAACTAATTGCATGGAAATAAAAGCTGCGTCACTTAAAGGAGCAATTTCAGCTGATAGAAACTCAGCGGATTTATTATATAATGTTACTACCAATTATTTTGAAATAAATCCAAATGATATCGATCCAAATGATAATGATAATCTTCCTGATGAAAATGACTCCGAAGATGATTTATTCTACGATGTTCCTGAACTGTTTGAAGTTAAACTAACTGATTACATTCAAGAAATTGAGGTTATTGATAACTGTTTATTTATAAATTTTTCAGTTTTTATTTATAATTTCTAAAATGGTTTCAGCACAACTCGTTTAAAATCTAATTGTACTAATAAAATATATGATGCTTAATAATTTTTTATTTTGCAAAGGCAAATGCACAAAAATTTTCAAATCCTAATTTCAAGTTAAGTGAACGGAAATGTAATTTTTAACCTTTTTGATATACACATTGTTGACAAGACTTAATTTTTCGTAGCATTAATTTAGTATCTGACTTTTTTTATATATTATTAAAATAAAAAATAATTTATTTAGACCATTTTAGAAATTTTATTTTTTGAAAAAAATAATTTTTTAAAAACCGTACAAATTTTTATAATCATAAAAGTGTGTTTAAAAATTGCCTAAGAAAAATAATAGAAATAATGAGAAAGGTTAAAAATTCAATGAGTTAGAATTTGATTTTAGTTTTCTTAATTTAAATTTAAATTTAAATTTAATTTATTTTAATTATCAATCCAGAAATTCCTGAAGATATTTTTCGTTTATAAATAATATTTTTTATTTACATATCATATTATTTAAATAAAATATTAGACATTAAAAATATTTTTTTATTTTTTATAGAACATAATAATTTTAATTATTCAGAAAAATATTGTCAGATAAAAATTAAAACTTTGAATAACATTAAATTTATTTCCATTTTTTCTTGCAATATAATACTTTAAATATGCAGTATTTACGCGAAAATATTTCAGGGAATTACTAGGAATTTGATTTTTTGTAAAGAATTCAATAAATAAATTTTCTCTGCAAAAACTCTTTGCCATTCCACATGGAATTACTAATTAGGATTCTACTCCCAAGAATTTTTTCACGTAGATAATATAATGCTTCCCTATATAAAAATATATTCCTGCAAAATTCTCGGAGGTTGATGATTCCTGGAATTAAAATTCCTAGAAATTCCCTTGGGAATTTGCAGGAACTCTCAGAAATTTTACAAAGAAAACTTCCATTTATGGAATTCAATCATGGATTAACCCCCTATAAATTCCTGAGAATTTTCCCTGAAATATTTTCACAGGGGTCTTTTCATTGTTTCTGATGCTTCTATTTTTGTTTTGATATGCATTCGAATTGGCTTAAAATATATTTTTTATTTTAATCGTTTACAGACTCGAATTCCAATTTACGAAGGATCTATGTTGACTAAAAAAGAAAGCGAAGTTTTAATATTAGCGCAAACTCTACGTCATGGGTTTTCAGATTCTGCATTAGACAGTACTCTTCAAATCATTAATTGTCACTTACCGTTTGACATCCACGGATCAAAATACAACTTCTTAAAATCTTTCCCCAATCCAAATGCAATTACTTATTATTACTGCAATAGCTGTTCAACAATTTTAAATTTTGAGGACTCGGAAGAATCAACTTGCAAAAACTGTACTACACGCTACGTAAAATCTATCCTTCACAAAAATGGAAAATATTTTTTATACGTACCGCTTAAAGAACAATTAAAACAATTCGTAAAAAGCAAATATTACAAGTTCCTGCGAAAAAGTAGTGATGACGAATCAGATATCATAAATGGTAAATTCTATCGTTTATTAAGAGAAAAAAAAATTATTGGAGATATCGACCTCACAATCCAGTGGAATACTGATGGAATTAAAACTTTTGTCTCATCAAAACCATCAATCTGGGCGATTTTAGTTCAAATCAATGAATTACCATACAGAATGAGGAAAGATAATATGTTTTGTTGCGGGATTTGGTTTGCTTCTGAAAAACCACCAATGAACTTATTCCTTCTCCCTTTCAGTGAAGAGATGATCGAATTACACGAAACTGGTTTTGATTCGGAAACATTTTTAGACGAAAAACCGATCACAATAAAAGTACATACAATTTGTGCTCCTGTTGATTCACCTGCTCGATGTGCAATTCAACATTTAAAACAGTACAATGGAGAATTTGGTTGTGGTTATTGTTTGCATCCTGGAGAAGAAATACCGTTTGGAAATGGGCACGCGAGAGTATACTGTGGAGACAAACATAAAGGACGAACCTTAAAGCAGCATTTAGCTGACGTATCAACAGTTGTCGAAAGCAGCGAAATTACAGAACTCAATGGTGTGAAAGGACCTTCTGTTATAATGCAAATACCTATTTTTCATATAATTTGGTCATTCCCTCCAGAGTATTTGCATGTTGTTGCTGAAGGTGTTGCAGAATTAGTGACAGATTTGTGGTTTGATTCCAAGCATCATGAAGCTAACTGGTACCTAGGGAAAGAATTAGATGAAATAGATAAATTACTTTTAAGCATAAAGCCTCCAACTGAATTGACCCGTTGTCCTCAATCAATCAAGAATCGTTGCCGATGGAAAGCTTCAGAATGGAAGAATTTCATTTTGTACTTCTCCCTCGTGTGTCTTCGAAAATTAAAAACAACAAAAAAAAAGAAATATTATCAGCACTGGTTCTTGTTCGTTTATAGTATCAACATTTTTTCAAAAACGAAAATTAGCGAAGTTGAATTTTCAAAAGCAAGTGAAGCTATCCGATTGTTTGTTCTAAAGTTTGAAGACTTATATGGAAAGGAATACATGAAATACAATGTACATTTGTTGTTACATATCCCCCAAAGCGTCAAAAATTTTGGTGCTCTGTGGGCCTGGTCCACTTTTCCCTACGAGCATTATAATGGGGTTATAAAAAAATTATTTAAAGGAACCCAATATCTTCCTGAACAAATAATCAAGTCGTACACGAGATTAAAGTATGTAAAGTTATCTTCTTCAGTTTTTTCTAAGGCTGACTCGAGCGCACGGGGCAAAAATTTATTTCAAACTTTAATGAAAGAGATTAAAGTTAAAAGATGCATAGAATACGGAGAAGATTTAAGAGTTTTTGGATGCGCACAAGAAGTACAATTAACGGACTTGACGAAATTGGTAATAACTCATTTTATTGAAGAGGAGATTCAAAGTTGTGCTCTATCGTTTGACCGTTTTATTATAAAACACATCCTAATTCACACCGAGAAATACCTAAGATTAACAAAAAGAAAGAATTGTGTAGTTAAAACATCAGACGGGGTTTTTATATCAATCACCAATTTTCTGTGCATTAAAACTGCAAGAGGTGAATCGAAGCAAGTGGTAATTGGAAAAGAATTGCAAGTACAAAAAGAAGCACTTTGCAATTACGAAAACTTTGCATCGTTTGAGTTCTCCTTTATTGTTAAAGAAACTAAAAATATTATTCCTTGTTGGCCAACAATGATTGAAACCAAATGTGTGTACATTCCACATGACAATCAATGCTGCGTGATACCATTAGCAAATTCATTGGAAACTGATTAAGAACATGTACGAGACTCATATAGTTAAAATACAGTAAGAAAGGTAAACATTTGTAATATTAAAAGACAAGTTACATACGAAATTATTTTTATTATACACAACATCTTTCTTCAGAATTGCAAAAATGATTTTTTTAAGTTAAAAATATTGTAACCATGTGAAAATATTTCTGGAAACTTTTCGGGAATTCCTCGGGCCTTGATTCCTGGAAGTGGATTTCCTATGGAATGTCTAGAAACCCCAAGAATACCGTCAGGAATTCCACTGATAATTTCCTGAAAATCCAATCCCAGAAAAAATTCCTGAGAATTTCCCGAATATTTTTACATGCGAGCCATTAAGCAACATTTATTCATTTATATTTTTATAAAATATTACTGAAATGGCGATTACATAAGATGTTGAACTGTGTCGCTTAATGTATTATTTAAAGAAACGTTTATTTAAACAAAATGTATTTCATATTTCAGACGCTGCATACAGGCTTTTGATCTATACTGAAATACTTCGTGTATTTTCGATTTTTAAAACGGAACACTAATTCCATTATAGAAAGGACCAAATTAAAATAATAAACGAGATAGTCACGAAACTAAGCATAAAAATACAAAAGAAAAACGAAGAAATATTAGAAAATCAATATTTCTAAATAAAAATTGCATTATAGTGTGCTATAATAATGTTATTACAACAATAATTACAATTATCATTAAATTAAATTTACATTATTTTTTATATGAGAAATGTAAATCTGTATATAATATTCTAATAAAATTATCATCACATGTTAAAAACCATCAATTATTTATTCTATCTATTTCGATATAATTACGACATCCAGATTTTACCGAAAAATTTTTAATTATAATCTTATAATAATAAAAATTAATAATCAAAAAATATATTATTATATTTGAAATTACTTTTATAGTCCTAAATGAAAATATAATGAAATGAATATCCAAACTAATTTGACGAAATTCTTGAACATAATATTAATATTATAATTTTACAAATCAAAAATTTTATTTTCTATAATTATATAACTATAATAATAATCTTATAATTATATTATGATAGTTTTATTATAGACTTCAACAATTACATTGTTATAATGATTTGATAAACAAAAAATTTTTTAATGAATTTTTTAAAATAAATTACTTATAATCGCGAAAATATTATACAAAAAAATTATGATTAAAAAATTTCAGCTTTAACATTAGTTTCCTATAAGAATTTTTCATAAGGGTATGCTTTTAGAAAATCTTACAAACTATTTTTATGTAACATCTTTTTTCAGTTTTAACCCGAAAAAGGGTTATTTTGCAATTATTTAAGAATTTTTTGATTTTTTCAATTTTTTATTATTATTTTTTATTTTTTATTGTTGTTTTATCAATTTTTAGGTAGTAACCTATAATATTGTGTCTAATTTTAAGTGTCATTAAAATCAAATGTTTTTAACTTAATAATTTTAACATTTCTTAATTTAAAACGAAACATCTTCTATTATATTAAGTTAACAAATTTCAGAAAACGACACCGACCCCGTGACCTCGACACCGTCCTTGAAAAATCTATTTTCAATTATTTTCAAATTAATCAAAATACTTTGCATATATGCTTTTAGAAAATCTTACAAACTATTTTTATGTAACATCTTTTTTCAATTTTAACCCGAAAAAGCGTTATTTTTCAATTTTAACCCGAAAAAGGGTTATTTTGCAATTATTTAAGAATTTTTTGATTTTTTCAATTTTTTATTATTATTTTTTATTTTTTATTGTTGTTTTTTCAATTTTTAGGTAGTAACCTATAATATTGTGTCTAATTTTAAGTGTCATTAAAATCAAATGTTTTTAACTTAATAATTTTAACATTTCTTAATTTAAAACGAAACATCTTCTATTATATTAAGTTAACAAATTTCGGAAAACGACACCGACCCCGTGACCTCGACACCGTCCTTGAAAAATCTATTTTCAATTTTTTTCAAATTAATCAAAATACTTTGCATATATGCTTTTAGAAAATCTTACAAACTATTTTTATGTAACATCTTTTTTCAGTTTTAACCCGAAAAAGGGTTATTTTGCAATTATTTAAGAATTTTTTGATTTTTTCAATTTTTTATTATTATTTTTTATTTTTTATTGTTGTTTTTTCAATTTTTAGGTAGTAACCTATAATATTGTGTCTAATTTTAAGTGTCATTAAAATCAAATGTTTTTAACTTAATAATTTTAACATTTCTTAATTTAAAACGAAACATCTTCTATTATATTAAGTTAACAAATTTCAGAAAACGACACCGACCCCGTGACCTCGACACCGTCCTTGAAAAATCTATTTTCAATTATTTTCAAATTAATCAAAATACTTTGCATATATGCTTTTAGAAAATCTTACAAACTATTTTTATGTAACATCTTTTTTCAATTTTAACCCGAAAAAGCGTTATTTTTCAATTTTAACCCGAAAAGGGTTATTTTGCAATTTTTTAAGAATTTTTTGATTTTTTCAATTTTTTATTATTATTTTTTATTTTTTATTGTTGTTTTTTCAATTTTTAGGTAGTAACCTATAATATTGTGTCTAATTTTAAGTGTCATTAAAATCAAATGTTTTTAACTTAATAATTTTAACATTTCTTAATTTAAAACGAAACATCTTCTATTATATTAAGTTAACAAATTTCGGAAAACGACACCGACCCCGTGACCTCGACACCGTCCTTGAAAAATCTATTTTCAATTTTTTTCAAATTAATCAAAATACTTTGCATATATGCTTTTAGAAAATCTTACAAACTATTTTTATGTAACATCTTTTTTCAGTTTTAACCCGAAAAAGGGTTATTTTGCAATTATTTAAGAATTTTTTGATTTTTTCAATTTTTTATTATTATTTTTTATTTTTTATTGTTGTTTTTTCAATTTTTAGGTAGTAACCTATAATATTGTGTCTAATTTTAAGTGTCATTAAAATCAAATGTTTTTAACTTAATAATTTTAACATTTCTTAATTTAAAACGAAACATCTTCTATTATATTAAGTTAACAAATTTCAGAAAACGACACCGACCCCGTGACCTCGACACCGTCCTTGAAAAATCTATTTTCAATTATTTTCAAATTAATCAAAATACTTTGCATATATGCTTTTAGAAAATCTTACAAACTATTTTTATGTAACATCTTTTTTCAATTTTAACCCGAAAAAGCGTTATTTTTCAATTTTAACCCGAAAAAGGGTTATTTTGCAATTATTTAAGAATTTTTTGATTTTTTCAATTTTTTATTATTATTTTTTATTTTTTATTGTTGTTTTTTCAATTTTTAGGTAGTAACCTATAATATTGTGTCTAATTTTAAGTGTCATTAAAATCAAATGTTTTTAACTTAATAATTTTAACATTTCTTAATTTAAAACGAAACATCTTCTATTATATTAAGTTAACAAATTTCGGAAAACGACACCGACCCCGTGACCTCGACACCGTCCTTGAAAAATCTATTTTCAATTTTTTTCAAATTAATCAAAATACTTTGCATATATGCTTTTAGAAAATCTTACAAACTATTTTTATGTAACATCTTTTTTCAGTTTTAACCCGAAAAAGGGTTATTTTGCAATTATTTAAGAATTTTTTGATTTTTTCAATTTTTTATTATTATTTTTTATTTTTTATTGTTGTTTTTTCAATTTTTAGGTAGTAACCTATAATATTGTGTCTAATTTTAAGTGTCATTAAAATCAAATGTTTTTAACTTAATAATTTTAACATTTCTTAATTTAAAACGAAACATCTTCTATTATATTAAGTTAACAAATTTCAGAAAACGACACCGACCCCGTGACCTCGACACCGTCCTTGAAAAATCTATTTTCAATTATTTTCAAATTAATCAAAATACTTTGCATATATGCTTTTAGAAAATCTTACAAACTATTTTTATGTAACATCTTTTTTCAATTTTAACCCGAAAAAGCGTTATTTTTCAATTTTAACCCGAAAAAGGGTTATTTTGCAATTATTTAAGAATTTTTTGATTTTTTCAATTTTTTATTATTATTTTTTATTTTTTATTGTTGTTTTTTCAATTTTTAGGTAGTAACCTATAATATTGTGTCTAATTTTAAGTGTCATTAAAATCAAATGTTTTTAACTTAATAATTTTAACATTTCTTAATTTAAAACGAAACATCTTCTATTATATTAAGTTAACAAATTTCAGAAAACGACACCGACCCCGTGACCTCGACACCGTCCTTGAAAAATCTATTTTCAATTATTTTCAAATTAATCAAAATACTTTGCATATATGCTTTTAGAAAATCTTACAAACTATTTTTATGTAACATCTTTTTTCAATTTTAACCCGAAAAAGGGTTATTTTGCAATTTTTTAAGAATTTTTTGATTTTTTCAATTTTTTATTATTATTTTTTATTTTTTATTGTTGTTTTTTCAATTTTTAGGTAGTAACCTATAATATTGTGTCTAATTTTAAGTGTCATTAAAATCAAATGTTTTTAACTTAATAATTTTAACATTTCTTAATTTAAAACGAAACATCTTCTATTATATTAAGTTAACAAATTTCAGAAAACGACACCGACCCCGTGACCTCGACACCGTCCTTGAAAAATCTATTTTCAATTATTTTCAAATTAATCAAAATACTTTGCATATATGCTTTTAGAAAATCTTACAAACTATTTTTATGTAACATCTTTTTTCAATTTTAACCCGAAAAAGCGTTATTTTTCAATTTTAACCCGAAAATGGTTATTTTGCAATTATTTAAGAATTTTTTGATTTTTTCAATTTTTTATTATTATTTTTTATTTTTTATTGTTGTTTTTTCAATTTTTAGGTAGTAACCTATAATATTGTGTCTAATTTTAAGTGTCATTAAAATCAAATGTTTTTAACTTAATAATTTTAACATTTCTTAATTTAAAACGAAACATCTTCTATTATATTAAGTTAACAAATTTCAGAAAACGACACCGACCCCGTGACCTCGACACCGTCCTTGAAAAATCTATTTTCAATTATTTTCAAATTAATCAAAATACTTTGCATATATGCTTTTAGAAAATCTTACAAACTATTTTTATGTAACATCTTTTTTCAATTTTAACCCGAAAAAGGGTTATTTTTCAATTTTAACCCGAAAAAGGGTTATTTTGCAATTTTATCCCGAAAAAAGGTTATTTTGCAATTTTTTAAGAATTTTTTGATTTTTTCAATTTTTTATTATTATTTTTTATTATTTACTGTTGTTTTTTCAATTTTAGTTAGTAACCTATAATATTGTGTCTAATTTTAAGTGTCATTAAAATCAAATGTGTTTAACTTAATAATTTTAACATTTCTTAATTTAAAACGAAACATCTTCTTTTATATTAAGTTAACAAATTTCAGAAAACGACACCGACCCCGTGACCTCGACACCGTCCTTGAAAAATCTATTTTCAATTATTTTCAAATTAATCAAAATACTTTGCATATATGCTTTTAGAAAATCTTACAAACTATTTTTATGTAACATCTTTTTTCAATTTTAACCCGAAAAAGCGTTATTTTTCAATTTTAACCCGAAAAAGGGTTATTTTGCAATTATTTAAGAATTTTTTGATTTTTTCAATTTTTTATTATTATTTTTTATTTTTTATTGTTGTTTTTTCAATTTTTAGTTAGTAACCTATAATATTG